TTGTGTGTAAATATAGATTTTCCTTAGTGTAATATTTAAATACTGTGAGAACCTACTTGTTATCTTTTCTCTTTATTGTTCTCTTTTCTTATAATTACATAGGTTGAACACCTCCAACTCCTCACAAAGAGTTTTCGGCGCGTTAAGAACTCAAACTAGAGTTTTAAAAAGGAATTAAAGGATGACGGAGAAAACGTGTCCATCTACAGAAAGGATCGCGGAAGAAAAGGTTTTATCTATCCGTGAGATGGCGCAAGAAGGCTTCACTGGTGGTCAACTTGACGCGTTCCTCAGAAATCTGCAAAGGGCTTGCGATAGAAACGACACACAACTGCTTGATCGACTGATGGATAAAGCGTTGGAAGCTTCCCTAGCCAAGGCAGAAGGCAACACCACATCTGACGATAAGGCAAAGCAGACGGAGAACAACAATACCGCAGGCTATCTGGCGCAGCAACAAGAACACGCTTTGTCCCCGTGGAAACGAATGCAGACAATGGCAAAGAACTTCTGGAGAAAGCTTACCGACAGTTACTGCAAAAATGAAAGCAGTGAGGCAGCAAAGAAATGCTTCATTGAATTGGCAGAGATTGGTCGCCTAACGCCAACAGAGGTGATGATTGGCCAGTACCTTTTCTTTGCAGAGGACCCCGCATATGCCTTGGAATGCCTCAAGACTCTCCTTTTCAATTGCGAAGAGGAGTACAGAGTCCAATTCCACAACTGGGGATTGGTTGAGAGTTTCGACCCCGTCAAACAAGAGATGTACGGAGCACGAGTGGAGAAACTCCAATACCCTCTGTTCCCGGATATACCGGAATTTAGAAAGTTAAACGCCGAGTTACTCCGCCCGACCAAAGGCACCCTTCACGGGGGATCCTCGGATGCAACGCCGGAGGCCGAAAAGTTGTACGACCTGAAGCGGGAAGGTGTTCTTAGCGGCGGTGGCTACACAGAGGCCATTTACGATGCCCATGGGCAACAGATTGCTGCCATGGACATGAGTAATACCGAGCAACACTTGGCCCTCCTAGCGACGATGGTGAAGGATCTGCAGCGCAAGCAACGCCACCACACAAGCACACCAACCCCAGCTATTCACACAAATGGGGGTGGACGCAGGGGACGCGGAGGCGCAGGTGCAGGAGTAAACAAAGGACGCGGAGTTACCTTTGCCACAAGCAGGCCGTATCAGTACAGAGGGGGTGGCGAATCTGCGGACTGCGAGTTCGACGAACCCAACCCAAAAAACGTGCATCCCCCGTCGGAAAGGAAACAGCAGTAAAACCGACGGGGAGAAAAGTGGACGTGAGTGGTGCTATTTTGCGGGGGCCCACCACAAAAGTAGTGTTACACGGAGGAGACTTCGCGAGTGGGAAGACGTCCAATATCGAACTGGACGGTATCTTCCAGAGGTATTTACCGAGGCAGTCGGTGCTACCATGCGACACCCTCCCACGTATGACGCCAGCTCGGGCGAAGGAAATCGAGCATCTTTTTCCGGAAAGAGAGAGTGACCACCTCTTCTTTCCCATCTTTATCCGTCACCACTGGATTGCGGGAATCTTCAGTGTGACGAAGGGCAAGAAACCTTGCCTAACAATATACGACTCAGCACCGTCTCCAATTGTGCAACGGGACCTGGTGCAGGCTATCAGATCATGGTGGCCACAAATCGAGTTGTATGAAGGCAAATGGGTGCGCCAAGAACGCTACAGCGAGGATTGCGGGATCTTTGTGACGGCAAGGTTCTTCGCCACCTTCTTACAACTGCCGATAAGGCATCCTAAAACCCTGCCAAAGCGGTTACGCCCCTACTTACAAGAGGTAACCGACAGCGCTACGAAACTGCCGAAGAAGCAGTTTCTCACGACGATGGGGCGCATATTGCTCAACCAAAATGGGAGCAAGCTTTTAGGCGGTGGTGAAAACACAAACGCAGCACGAGACGCTGCTACGGACCTTTTGCAGATGTACTCCAACGTGTCCGACGAGTTGCGACGACGCCAGTTGGGCTACATGTGGGTGGCCAGCGCTTTGGCCAACCTAGCGGACGGGGCCTCGCGATCCTTAACAGTGGACAGCATTGCGATGCGCGCGAACCGGTACAAATTTGCTTCGTCAACACCACACGACGTCGCAGATGCAATTGTGCGTTTGGGCTTTCCGGTATTTGGCCTTGGCCGTGCAAACCGAGGAGACCGTCATGAGAGTTTACTCGCCTTGCCCGAAGAAGGAACGCAAGAAGCGAATTGTCTTCTCCATCCGGCACTGTTCGTCCAGACAGGGTCCAGGAGTGGGTTACCACCGGTCATCCAGGCCGGCAACCGTCCGGAAAGCGGTGAACCGTTGCCAGAGCGGAACTTTATACTCGGCACGAAGTTCACTGGCTCCATTAGCCGAAAGAAGGGAGCCTCGTCAGGGCATTACACCCCAACACGAAACCCTAAGGAGGCTGTCATCGGAGTATACAGGCCAGCGGACGAAGCCAATTGGCCACCGTATACCGGCGCCAACGCGTCCACGTATCGCAAGAGGAAAGGACGCCAAGATCGCCCACCCGCGACAACAACAACAACGACAACAACAACAACGGCGGCACCCCGGCAGCAACAACAACAAACAACACCATCATCAAAACCAACTCCGACGAGAACAAAACGCGCCCGACTAGAACCCACCCAGCCCAGGACACCACACCGCCAACAACACCACCAACAGCAACCTCAAGGAAAGCGCACACGTACGAATGCTGCTGCGGCGGCAAGTTCTTTATTACGCCAGGGGGAAGCTCGACGCGATGACACGCGACCAAAGCACACGACACTCGCCCAGCCATCTCGTACAGACAGGAGCTGGGTGAGTGTCGTGCGCGGGGAAACCGCCGGAGCTGGAACACTACAGCAAAATGCCGAACAATTGGAAGAAGTGGATGCATTGCAGACCCCTCATTCTCTACGTTTAAACGGCAACGGCAAGCGTCCGATGGGGTACGCTTGCCCACGACACTGGGTGATTTACCCAGACAAACCCCCTCACATCAGCCAATTGGCTTGGGCAGCAGTGACCCCTGCCCAACGGAAAGGGCACATACACTGGCTACGCGAGCTTCGTCAGATGCCAGAGGATTTGATCACGGCCAGCCTGCCAGAGGCAGCGATAGAGCTGGTCCGCCGCGCGGCAGTGGCACGAGGATGGAAGTGGACAACCATCTGCAAAGCGTTGGCGCTTATAAAGGGTGCCCTCCTCAACCTCCCGTTATACACAAACCAACGGGAAAGCATCGACATTGGCAGGAACCCCAGCTGGAGAGCCGCAACACAGGCGGCCCACAGGTTCGAACGCCGTGCGCCCACCAACCCGCCGGCGCCAGTAACATATGCCGAGATGCAAAAGGCACACAAGGCACTCGCGAGAGAGTGTCCACAGGCAGCCTTGTTCCTCATGATGATGTGGTGCAGCGCGGCGAGGGCAGGCGACATCGGATCCCTACACGCAGAAGATGTGCGCGTCGAACGGGTGACGGAGGGGAAGAACATGGCACGCCTCACCATGACGATGCGGTACGGCAAGGGAGCCAGGTTTCGCGGGCCTTACCCGGTAGGGGCAATGCTACCACGCGAGGACGCGTCAGTCCTTCAGCACCTCCTGAGCCAGCGTCTGCCACATCAGAGGTTGTTCCAGGACGTCACGGCGATCCGGAACAAGGTACGCCAGGCACTGCGGAGCGAGAACCCGTTATCTGCTCTCCCGTCGATACGGAAAGGGGCGACGAGACACCTGGCCGCGCATGGGGTGTCGGAGGAGCACCTCATGCGCATGACGGGGCACACGCGCATCGACACCCTGCGACGGTATCTGGGTTATGGCCTCCAAATGACACGGGAGGCCGAACACGCACAGGACAGCGCCGCCCGTGCCCTCCTCGAGCGGAGTTCTTAGGGAATAAGGCTCCAAACGCACGCGACCTCGGGCTCAATGATGCAAAGTTGTATGAGGAGATACTACGGGCGGAAGGAAAGGAACTCCCTTCACACGTTGTCGATGCTATCAGCGGGGCCGTGCAGAATACGAATAACTGGCCACTCCATTTGAAGGACACTACACCCCTAAACATTGAGGCCGTCAGAGGTTTGCCCACAGCACATACGGCCACCAAAGACCTCCTGGAGCGAGCACTGCGATTCATGACGGTCAACCTCTACGACGGGTTACGCACATCCCGAACCATCAAGAAGACGCAGCTCTCGATGACGGACATAAAGAGAGCAGTCGAGATGGGAAAGTTTGAACGCGTACCGAACGGTTTTGGTCTATATTATTCTCTTCAACCCCCAGCGGAGGTTAGAAATGCGGCACCCACCGACGAAAGTGGCATCAGCATAACCGCGCCAACACATACGACACCCGGCCATCGGGACGACTGTCACCAAGACCGTCGCTACGAGGGCCGTCTCCCGGAAGGTTTCCACGGGGTAAACGTGTTTACGGTAGCCGAGATGAAGGGACGACGGCGCCTGATCACAGAGCCGCACCTTAATGGAGTAATCTCGCGAGCTGAGATACCACGTTGCGAGTACCCTTCTCGACTTGCAAGGCGACAGGAGCTGCGCTACGCACGTTACATGTTGCAGATCGATTTTGAAGCGTTTTACGACTCCATCCCGATGATGGATGAAGGGCTACGCAACAAGTTCGTCTTTCGAGCACGCGATGGTGCACTCTACCGGCTTCGAACCTTACCGACTGGGGCACGATGGAGCGTCGCTGTTGGACAGGCCGTGACGTGGACAATTGTTGACATTGACACGCGGTGTGCCATCCTCACAATGATCGACAATATCCTGATTGCCGCGCCCGCCGGAGAAGAGGTGGAGTTTGTAAGAACGGTGCGACAGATCATCGACCGGATTGAGGTGGTGAACCTCTGCACGTCTCCCAGTCGCGAAGAACTGCGATCGTGGTCAGACAGCGTCGTGTTGGAGGAGGCGAAAAAGACGAACGTTTTCCTGGGCGAGGAGTTTACTTGGTTAGATGGCGAGCGCAAGGTGCGCAACTCCATCAAGACCGTGGCGAAACTGAAGCTGGGTTTGGTACAGCAACCGTACAGGAGTTTCACGTGCAGAGAATTTGCGTCAAACGTGTCACTCATTTTATATGCGTTGCACACCACAAGGTTGAACCCAGCTTCAGCGTTTAATCTCTTGCGTGCGTATCGCGGCGTGTACCGCCAGGTTGAACGCGGACGAGGGTGGGACGAGCCCATACCGTACCTGGATCCTGGCGTCCGCAACACGATGATGACGTTAGCCGCACGACTGGTCCAGAATCCTTATTGGACCATCGCGGAAGAGGTGAATGCAACGTACAACGATGAGGATTATGACGTCATTTGCTTCACCGACGCGTCAGCAGATGGGTGGGGTGCGATAGTGGTTACGGACCCACCGGCGCCACCACGTTCAGAGAACGTTGCAGAAGATACGTGGACACCACACGCCACCATTTACCAGCAGAGGTGGATCCACGACCTCAACCCGGGAGGAAACCCGAGACCGTCACCACAACCCGGACGCCGAGAAGAAGGGACGCGACAAGTTCCTCAAGTCAGTAGCGACACATTCAACGCACGCCACTCGGCACACGCGGAACCCCGGGCGGTCCACCTACTGTTACAACACCTCGAACGCCAGGGTGTGATTGTTCCCGGCGAATCTATCGCCCACGAGGAAGACGTCGACAGCGACACAAATGTAAATGGCCCACGACGACGGCCAACACGAGTGGCGGTGGTGACCGACCACTTCCCCATCGCGCACGCGCAACGGCGGCTAAACGGATTTGTCGGCATCGGACGCGGCTATGCGCTGAACAGGCTCTTCGAATACACGAACGAGCTGTTCCACACAAAGGCGGTGCAGGTGGTCTTCTTTTACATCGCCGGACCCCGCAATCCGGCAGACCACTGCTCACGCAACTTTGGGGTAGACAGGGGAACCCCGTTAATTACTTCACATCCGGCGGACGACTGCCTCGTTCCGTTGTTGAGAACCACGTACGGTCCAATCTGCAAAGGACAAAGCGAAGCACACGTGACCTTTGCAGGCGTGGGGAACGATTTTGACGTGGAGGATGAAGTGGAAGAAGAATTAATGCCTTAATAAAGAAGGCATAAGGGCTAATCGCGCACTATGGGGAGCGTTCTTTCCAACCCCGAAAGCCAAAGTACAAGCCACAGAAAGCGAGAAATATCTTCTGTATTTCCCCGTTAATAATGTGTTGATGTACTGGCCTAATCGGCAAACGTTGTTTCTCAGTTTGACTTGCCTGTACCACTTGTGCAAACACGTTCTTCCTTTCCTCTTCTTCTCTTCTTCTTAGTAAAGCGACAGTAGCCGTGCTTTTCGCAATCGTTAAGCACAAGCGTGTCGCATATAGAATTTTCTTGGAGAGAGAGTGACTGGACGTACGGTAGTTGTGTAAACAGGAACATGTTGGAAGTGACGAAGAGTTGTGTGTAAATATAGATTTTCCTTAGTGTAATATTTAAATACTGTGAGAACCTACTTGTTATCTTTTCTCTTTATTGTTCTCTTTTCTTA